TATTACCCGGATAAAAAAAAATTGTCATGATCATCTGTTTTTCTATTAGAACAACCTTGTATAAATATTCTGACAAAGGAAGCTAAACTAGTGATTACACATTTAATCACCAGATTATACCAGTAAGGCCAAGTCATTTAATTTAATTTACTAAATAACAAAGGCATTTATTTTTCATCAGTTGGTCAGCATACTACAGAAATGATTAAAAAAAGTTTTCAAACCTGAGCTGGGCAGCTTAGTCCTTTATTTTATCCAAAAAAAAAAAAAAAATCACAATATTGTATCACAAAAGTCACATTGAGGCCAATGTAATGGAAGTACATATTGATAATTTCTCATTATATAAAAGACTACTGCCAAGCACTACATCTGGCGATTATGAAAAACATCAATACTTTATGGATTTTAAATGAACTGAGCTTGAAAAAAACCATAAGCATCAATGTGGCTAAATAAAGCATTATTTTAGGATCAATGAAAGCAAAAGCTTGTTTAACCATTTATTAGAATTCCCTTCAAAAAATCAAATGGCATTTCAGTTTAATTACTTACTTTTTTAATTACTTTCCTTGTCTGCGGATCAACTATGCTTAGTGTTAATTGCTTACCATAGGCGTGTGTATGTTATCCATTAGAGGCGAAATCCCAGTACAACGAGGATGGGAAAATGCAAATGAACTAATATGATACCGACTGCAGTCCGCACTAAAATTGAGCTCTCTCTCTCTCTCTCTCTCTCTCTCTCTCTCTCTCTCTCTCTCTCTCTCTCTCTCTCTCTCTCTCTCTCTCTCTCTCTCTCTCTCTCTCTCTCTCTCTCTCTCTCTCTCTCTCTCTCTCTCTCTCTCTCTTTCTTTCATGGTCTCTCTGTTGATCACAGAGTAAGCAGTATTTAGTTTCTAAATAGCCTATATTTCAAAATGGGTTGAAGTTGCAAAAGTCTGGAAATGTCATCTGTCTGAATAAGCTTGTGCCAGAATAATGCTTACAACAACTCAGTTTCAACAGTTGGCATGTAAAAATAAAAATTCCCTCCATTTCATATAATTATATGCAATCCTTATTCTGGGAGCTGGACACTTGGTCACATGATCCAGTACCGATGACTCAGTATCAAATAATATGCTGGTCAAACAATATGCAGTAACAAACCAAAGCTGATCAAACAAGCATATTTGTAATCCAACATTAAAAGCTGTTCAAATTGATGTTGTTCTATTCACAAATATATATTTATTTATATAATTAAAAGAGGTTTTGGTTGATGAATCATATTTTATGACTGAATCAAGGCTTATTTATCATACCAAAGTAACAAAAATGTCCTTAAAATTAAAATTAGACTAAACTGCAAAGGCCCAACAACACTCTTGGAAATAAAGGTTCCAAAAAGGGAGTTTTTCGCTGTGATGGATTTCCCATTTTGGGATCCTCACATATCCTTAAAGTGATCATAAAATAACCATTTTCTTCTTAGTGTGACTGAAGAATTCAATTTAAAAAGAGTCTTTTGTGCAATGGAAAGGTTCCATGTATGTTAAAGGTTTTTCATAGAACCATAGATGCAAATAAAGAACATTTTATTTTTAAGAGTGAACATGCTAATAACATGTCAACAGCCAAAGTGTGAACCTCCAAAAATGAAACACCTCCAAAGAACCATATAACCAAGTATACTATACAGTGAAAAATGCAATATACACGCAGTAATGCAACCTGTGTGCTTACAAAGTTTCTAGTCGAATGACTCATGAATGCCATTATCCCATGGCCTCTAGATCCTTTTAAGATCACTGTAGATGAAAATACCAATGTATTAAGATTCATTCAGCACTGCTGTTATTGCCGCAGGCTGTTTTTACTAAAGAGCACCTAGTGTGAGACTGCAATAAAGAATAACTACCACATTACTAAATGCGCTGGTGGCACCATCGTAACAGCACTGGCGAGCAAAAATGAGGATGGAAATAAAATGGTGCAACCCATTTTCAAAACCACTGAAATCTTATTGAGTACAGGAGGTCAATGCAAACTGTAAATGCATTCAGGAAACTCAGGCTCATATTTTGGACTTAGGACCACAAACATAGACACTATATATGCACCTTAATTCTCAGATCTCTGAAAGCATTTACCACAGCACCACAAGGGGGGAGACAAAAATGACTTGTGGCATTAGTAAAGCGTGGAACTTAAATGCCATTCAAAAGGTCATGAGAATGTGTTTTAAAAAATAAATGAAAAATAAGTCCTGAGCTTCCATGCATTGACTAGATCTACAACAGCTGCTATCGTGTTAACGGTTAGGAAATAATACAGAATTAAACCTGTGCACCTCAGAAAATAAAAAATACTGACAAATGTCATCTTTTCACTTTATATTCAATATCCTAAACTAATTGTTCAATATAAAAGCACTCTAGTCTTTGTGACACTACTATCCTATACATTTTTGTGATGAATATTACATCTTCTTTGAAGTTTTGTTGATTTGTCCCTCTTTTTTTATTAAAAAAAAATTCTCGTAAATTATCACCATAACATTTATGCAAAACTTATATTTAATTTTTATGTATTTGTTGTATTAGTAAACTTTTTAAAAGATAAAATCGTGTAAAATAAATCACAATAATAAACAAAGGCACTTAACTCCATCTCTTTCTTTACTTTTGCATTCATTTCTGCTCTAGTTTACATCAAATATTGTAGGCTTTTATGGTAAAACGGTTTGAGATGTTCCTCAAGTTGCTTTGAATAAAAGGGTCTGCTAAATTGCTAAATTTAATAAATATAATGAAAATTGAGTTTGCCTTTTTTGTTGCAGTTTTTTATTTCTAGATTTGTGGAAGAGAAAATAATATTTCTATAAAACAACCACCATGCTATTATTTTTTGAAATATTTTCTATTTCACAAAATATATATATATTGTGGGCTTTGTGAATGGACCTTTATTTTGACATGATTGTATTGTTAACAGCATTATATATCTACTCACTTTTTGTGTCCAACTACATTTATTCTTATTTATAGGTAAATATAAGGTTTGATGACTTAGTTAAAACTCAGTTTCATTGCTTAGCATGTAAGAATCTGTGCACACCACAGTCTCTGTGGGAGGCAAAGCAATGCAAAGTGGTATTCCTCAACAATACGGCTAATGGAAACAGAGTAGAAATGCATCATAATGAAAGCTGGGGTCAAACGAGGGGAACGATTCCTCATGGGTGGAATCAAAACAAGGAGCCGAATGAAACTGAGACTCAGATTTCACTGCTGCACAATTCGATTTGTGTGATACCACTCTGTGCTACTATAATATTCATAATTACGGTAACACTTTGAGAAGGGAGTACAGTTTTTTTTTTTTTTTTTTTATATAATATAATGTGATCAATGCCTGTTACAAACAAAGAAAATTCTGAAATTACAGTGCACTGAGATCATGAATTATGGAAAACATGGATTTAAATATTTCATTTGCTGCTAAAAAGGACATTTGCTTTATAGTTTAATATTTATGGTTCATAAGTTTCATCATGTTTTAAGCTCCTTATTAATGGTGCACATAAAAGTGTGAATAAATGAGTTTCTAACAAACTAATTTCCATAGCCAACTAACCCTCTCAAAATGAAATCAATCCCAGGTCAGGCTTTAGCTTCATTCTCTCCCTCCATTCCCCTCGGAGCAGACTCAAAAAACTGAAATCACTCCAGGGAGACAGGGCATAAATGGTTATGATCCAGTTTTATTGAAAGCAACCCAAAGAAACTCAAAATCCGAGCGAGAAGAACAAAGAGCAAGACTACAGTAATAAATATTTGCCGAAACCTATTCAGAGTGCAGCAGAAAAGCAGACCTTGTCTAAATCATTTTCCAGGTCAAGTACACTACTCGAGGGCAGTAAATGCTCAACACCAGGCTTTTTTTTTTCTTTTTTTTGCATAACTAAATCTGGGGGGGTTTGCATCACTCACGGAACCAAACTTGCAGCATCGGCATAATGCGGGGGAAAAAAGTACCCAAAATGTATGGAAAATGTGCAAAAGCCAGAGTTAAATTGAGGCCAACAGTTAAGGAAGTGAAGCATGTATATTCCTGGTGTTTCCAACATTCTACCCCTGCTGTGTTACATGGCCACGACCCCTTTTGTGTTGGGTTAACCCGTTAAATCCCACCAAAGTGGCTATTCAGTGGAGTGCCATCCACCCCAGGGGTTATTGTGATTGGCCATTGTTGAGAACAATAGACGTAAAGAGGATAAGACACCAGAAGCACTTCCTAACTTCCCCCAAAGTCTTCTCACTTTCTCCACTCTGGTAGGGCAAGTGCCTGGAGCGATTGATACCCCCCCTGTTTAATTTCCTGTTTAACGTTAGGGAACTCATTTGTTTGATCCCGAACCCAATGAAATTATGTTAAATGGCATGCCATTTTTCATACAAATGAACATTTTCTGTGACTGGAGCTTATGTTTTAGTCAAATGGTTTATTACATTATTAAAAGCTGCCTGTCTAGATGGAACTAGTTAATAAACTAAACTTGCTCCTAAATATTAATAATGCTTGAGCCACAAATGAAAGAAAACCATCAATGCAAGCTCCTAACCGAACCCTAATTAAACAGTCGAAATGCATCCTATACTGATTTAGAAGCATAGCATCAGAATTTGTTTCTCATATTTTCCCATTCATTATTTGTAAACAATTTTTTCTGATTTAAATCTGCAAGAAATTACAGATGCTCTATCATTCAATTTTAGTTCTCCATCATAAATCATGAAATCACAGATTTTCAAATAAGTTCAATGCTTGTGATTATAGGACAATTTCATCCTTCCCTTTAATCATGGGTCACTGGTTCGAAAATATATTCTCGCTCTTGCCTCCCTCTAAGCAGGTGAACTGAGCTCAAGACTTTCCCACGATCCCTCAGTAAATCTCTCTTTGCTCTGCCCCTTTCCTCTGTCACAGCCATCTGTCTATTTTTTAGAGAGCGTCTGGTGGAGCAAGTGTCAGCTGCTGGGACAAGTCCAGCATTCCAAAACAGATTTCACCACAACATTTAGCCAGAAATACAAATAATCAGATTCCAAATTTAAGATGCATCAATTGTACTACTATAAACAATGGAATACCTAACGATTTCTCTTTCTTTCTTTATGTCTGTCTCCCTCATTTGAAAGAACCCCGTGGTGTTCTGACAGTCCAAGAAAAGTGAATTTCATAGAGGTAAGCATGTTTTTTTTTCATAGAGTCTGTACTACTTTAGAAAGATTCACCATCAAGCATCAACCTCTTATAATATGACTTTGCTAAATAGAAAATTGACTATTAAAAGGGGACATCCAATGTGAGAAATTTAAGGAGTATTATCAACAACAACAAAAAAAGCCAAAAGCTCTAACCAAAATTGTCAAGAATGCGATTAAGAAGTCTGTTCTTTAGCTGCCAATGTTTTTCAGTAAAACACAATATCTGCAACCTATCCAACAGCATTTGACCTTCACGCTCTTTGTGTGAGGTTTTTGTTTGGGTCATTTTTACTGAAACCGGACCTGTCAGAGCAATAGCCAAAAATAATGTTTTGCTTTAAAAAAAAAGAAAACATTAAATAATCGAGCTATGTTACGCAGTCATGTGACATACAGTCGCCCTTCTATCCTCCATTTCTCCTTTTTTCTGGTGAGCAGCCCATGCACATATCATTAGAGCGTTAAAAGAAGCGAGCCTGGTGCCACGGGTCTCCTCCTGTGCTGCCTTCCCTCTAAACGTGTGACACTGGCTGGCTGAGAGCATGAGAACGGAGCCTTTTGAATAGCAGGATCCTCATACTTGGCTAGTAACCATGGAAGCAGATGCCTACTCTCTTTGCCCTCCTTACCTCCTTGCTCCCTCATTGAAAAGAGGGCACGCCTCGCTTTCTTCTTCCTGACCGAACTTGCCTGGCCCTCAAAGGGAGCGATTGAGCAGGTCACTGGTCTAGACTTGTTTGCATGGTCCACGGAACAGCCTTGAGGTAACCCTTGCTCCCCGTGCGTCGCACCACCGCAGACTGCAGAGGGGGCATCGGAGATGTGAATTTGAAAAGGAGCTCCGTCCGATTTTGCCTTTGTGCCTTTTCCCTCATCGATCGGCTGAATATCGAACCCTCAGTCTGTGCATGTGTGAAACGGATAGCTTAGTAAGCATTTTTTCTAATCAAGCTTGCGTTGTGGGCCAACTCTCTCGTTTTTCTCTCTCTTACTTAGCCGCTCTCTCTCCCTCCCCTCTCTCCCTCTCTCTCTCTCTCTCTCCGTCTGTCCCTCTTTCTCCATTTCTCTCTCACTGTTTATTTTCTCCATTTCTCTCTCTCTTTCTATTTTCCTCTTTCTGCATTTTCTCTCTTTCTGCTTTTCCTTCCTCTTCTACACTTCTCTTTTGATAATCTGGGACATTTGGATAAGCATGTTGTGATGCTTCTGATCAATGTCAATTTTTTTTCTATCTGTTATTGATCCTGAAGTGATTTCAGCTTTGTGTTACCCGAGGATTTTGCATGCTGTTACAACTGTTTGCTTTTTCAATTTCAACTGGGATGACCACTAACCACAGAGGGACTTTTTAAACTATTTAGACAAAAATACTGGCAAATGCACTGCTTTTGTTTCCATTCCATCTTCCAAGATGTATGGATGACAGTTTCCTCTTTTTTTAAAAACAAATAACATATTAAAAACTGATGTATCGTGAGGTGAGTATAATTATGTTTTCGTATATTAGAGTTGGTATAATCAGCTGATGTAAAAGATTAAATAGAAAAAAAACCCTGATCTTTTCCTGCTGTTTAATAAATGTACACTATCTACTTGAAACATTTATGTTGAATATGCTGTATTAAAGCTGTGAGTCTTTGAATTTATCTGTGTCTCTCATCATATGACATGTTGCAATTATTGTGGGATTACTGGGCTTTCACTATGTACATATTGTGATGAGATTTCTTAAGTGCTCAATTTCCCGCATATGAACATCAATGAATATATATTAGACTAATACTCTATAGTAATACTAGACTTCTTAAATACTAAGCCTAAAACCAAATGAAATATTTTCTATGTTGCTAGAAGAAATGTTTGTTTGGAGGCAGAAAAATATACTCCAAATAATTTTAGTAAAATGGTAACACTTTATTTTACAGTGTCATTGTTACATATGTTACATGTAATTACTATAGTAATAACTATAAAATATGCATAATTACATGCAACTGATCCTAAATCAAACCAAACCCTAACCCTATAGTAAGTGCATGTAGTTAATTAATATTACTCAGAACTGAAATGTATAATTACACTGTAAAAGGGACACCTTAAAATAAAGTGTAACCAAATTATTCTTTATTTATTGTGTTGAAATGATATATTGAAGTCACTATGTATAGAAAATATATACAGGAATGTGATAACTCATCAGTCAACATCAATGATAATATAAATACCAAAAGCACACTAAATAGCACACTAAAATAATGATCATTTGTTTTGTCATATGTTCTAAGAATATGACAACACAAATGTAATATCATGACAGTCTGGAAAAAAAAAATATTGCAGGCATCAAAACTGACAAGTTTTATTCAAGACTTTATCAAAATATTATATATTTTTATAATACAATATTTGAAACAATATTGGACAAAACGTATTAGACAATATTATAAGATTGTATTTAAGTTACATTCAAATTTATTTACTGTATATTTTTGATTAAGGTACTTTATGTGCACGGTATTGTTTAAAAATAGCTTACAAAAAAAAAGAAAAAAAAAAATATTTTTTAACATTGTTAATCTAAAGAATATCCCATTTGCAAGACTGATTAAAACAGTTAGAAAGAAATTTGAATTATATAGAAATAAGTATTTTAAAACTGTGTAATGTAAAAATAAAAAAAGCATTTAATAAAAAAAAACCTTCATGTGTTACTTTTTTTCTAAAACATCCCATATTCCCCATATGTTTTTACATACATTATAAGTACATGATCTATGTTTCATAAAAATAAAAATAAAAGTTTTTTATCTTTTCAACCATTGTGGACATACTTTTTTTTCTTTTTCTTTGCCTGCTCAAGTAAGTTTGGGTGAAAGATTGAAAATGCACCAAACTGGGTGTTGAAGGGTGAAACGGGGATTTTATTTTGGAGAAATTTGATTGGACGGAGCCCCACGCAGTGTACCACGCGCGCCATGTCAGTAGCTGGCGGTGAGGTCACATAAAATGGAAGCTTAAGATCCGAGTTCAATCTGGAAATTACCTACTGTCGGATTCCATTTACTGGCTATTGTCATACAAATACAGGCCTTGTCCAATTTAAATACACAAACATTGAAATGTAATAAGTAAATTATTTACTGTTTTTGCATTTTGAACAGCTGATATGGCAACGCATTTAAGGATTTTCGTGCTTTAATTATAGAGCTCTTGAATGTGAAAATAATGTTCACTCTTTGGTTTCTTATTTTTTCATATTATTTATACAACTTTAATGCAATTTTCAACATTAGAGCAGATGTATAAATGTTATACTGCAGTCAAATCCATCAAAACTCTGGTGCTTGTTTTTACAGTGCAAATTCCTTATTAGGAAAGATATTAGAAAATGGCATTATATCTCTAAAAGAAATAATATAGAGACAATTAGATACTCTGTCTGTCTTTCAAAATAATTAAGAAAAGATCTGAACAGCATTTGATTTGTCTAAAATAGTGATTTATAGTGAAATATTAATTTAATTTAAAAAGAGAAGCTACATTGGCAAAGCATTAAACGCACAGACAGAAGACCGTATATCTCAGCTCATCCCCAACAATTAACGTGAGCCAGGCAAATGACTTTCACCATAATGCAATTATATCACTTGTGGTATGCGTTAAACGGCCATGTCCAAAAGTGTCATTTGTGATGTGCTGCTTTGTGTTTTGACTTTGAGACTTTCCCGTTCAATATGTTCTTTTGGCTCGCTCGAACGTGTGACTCACAATAGACAATGAAGCCAAGACCAGCTGTGATTTTCTGTTGAGCTCACTCTATGCATTATTTATAGTCACATCAGTAGATTAGGCTGAAAGCTTGACCCTATACCGCATGATAATGTCTCCAGCCCGTTCGCGTTCTGGTCACCACTAACAAATGATAACCCCTTATCTGACTGCTTTTCCGTCCTCATAATGCAGTTTAATAGAGCAGAGTCTCAATCGCTATGTCCATTTCTCACTAATCTGTTTTGTTCTGTTTTTACACATACAATTTTTGTTATTAGATAGAGTACAACGGGGCTAAAGGCACACCTTAAGAAAAAAATAGCTTTTCACTAGTGTATGATTGTAGAACAGATAAATATGTTTGTATTGAATATTGATGGAGCAACAGATTTTGTATAAAAATAAATCATAAAATGTGTTTATTTTGTTTAAAAATCTTGTAAATTAATGAGTTGGCAAGGCCTTTTACCCCACACACGGGTAAAAGGCTCACCAGCATGGGGCAAAAGGCACACATTATTTATACAAATACTTTAGCTATGTTTTTAATAATGTCTAAGTTAATGCTTGTTCAAAACAATCACTGTAGCAAAGTTTGTACTATTGTCTGTTTATTTTGATAAATAAATAAATGCTTTTTTTGTTAAATAAATGTACTAATATAAAAATATATTTTAAAAACAGAAACAACATGATTTTAAAAAGAGTCAATATTCTGAAACCATTGAATGTTATCCCATAATAATTTAATATAGATTTACAGTAGTAACAGAAAATTATTTATTATATGATATGATTAATATCATATTTTTAAGTATGATGGTTCCATTATAAATATGATTATTATCTCTGGTGGACACCCAACTTAATATATGATATTTACCATCTGAATCTAACTATGTTGGAAAAGCCAGCCAACTATTTATTATTATGTTAATTATTGTGCCTTTCACCCCAATAGCATTTTTTTTTTTTTTTACATATTGGAAATTTTATATGGAAAAACTGTTGCTTTAATTACCTTGAACAAAACTGAAAATCATTAATAAGACCTTTGTATAAAAATATATTCCATAATTTTAGCGATTCTCATTTGAATCGCTAAAATTCGAATCATAAATCTACAACATTTCTAACGCAATCTACAACATGAAATATTAGATCAAATTAGCACAGAATCAACATTGCGCTGCTGCCCGAGATTGCGTCAAGTATCAGCCAAATTTCCACGTGCATCTTGAAAAGTGGATGTTTTGGAAAGTGTTACGGCAAGTTTGTGTGCCATCTAGTGTTTTAAAGGGAAAATCAAATCAAAGGCGCCTTTTACCCTGGTGTGACTTTAGTCCTGTTGTATACCCTACCGAAAAATCTCAGATTTGTATTGCAATTACTAGAGTAAACTGGTGGACAGATATCCACCTGGTCCAATACATTAGTTTTTGTGGATTGTACCTCAAGTACCCTGTCGCTCTTCAAACAGATTCTCAAACAGATCCCCCCTCAGAGTCAGTACACATCACAAAAAGATCCCCCTCTGCATTCCCCGAGCTAACAAAACACCATTATCTGTTTAATTGCCTGAGAACTGTTAAATACCCTCTATTTACATGACAAGATGCATCTTGTTGCGAAGTGTGACACAAACGAGTCAATACACAAAAGATGAAGGTGGTCACCACCGCCCCTGCACCCCCCAAAGACAGGAGTCCGGCTCATGAATGACAGTGCTGCAACAAGCACCCTGAGCAAACACACACACACACAAACCTAATTGGTTTTTAACCAGGTTAATGGAGCTTTAGCAGCAATCCCTGCATTCAAAGACATAAGCACACTTCACTAAACAGATGTTTAATGAAACAACCACAGCAGTGTCAGTGTGATACAAAATATGTAAAATATAAAAAATGTTTTTACAAAAATTATATATATATATATATATATATATAATTTGAATCCTAATGTATTATCTATAAGCCCTATATACATATATATATATATACACACGCACAGACTGTATATATATATATATACACACACACGCACAGACTGTATATATATATATATACAGTGTGTGTGTGTGTGTGTGTGTGTGTGTGTGTAAAATATATATATATATATATATATATATATATAGGGCTTATAGATAGATAAATACACTGTCTATAATTATATATGCACGCATATATAAGGCTATATAAAAAAATTGTTAGATGCGCTTAATCAATTTGACAGAGCTAGTGTGTGTGTGTGTGTGTGTGTGTGTGTGAATATTGATCATGAATTAAAATACAAAATATATGAAGTAGGAATGCACAAATAATATTCTAGGTTGATTCTAACATAAATTTATTTAAATTTTATTTAACATAAATACATTAAAGTGTATTTAATTTAATAATAAAATATTTCTCAAAGAAAAAAAAGCTTCTATTTTGCATCATTTAATTTAATACAATTGAATAATTCATTACAAATAATTATACATTAAGATATTTATATCATAGGGTTTGAGTGAAAATGAACATGAATTTAATATTTGCTTTAAATTAATTGATGGCAAGTTTGTGATTCAAAACCTGATATGATATGATGAATGTTCCAAAGAGTTTACATATGCTTATTTGATTAGTGACTTGCAAACTTTAAAGCTATGTATGATTTCACATCCTAATCCTGTTTAATTACAGATTTAAATTAAAAAGGCTGAGTTTTTTTTTTTTTTTTTTTACATGGACGCTCTGTCATTTGAATCCTAATGT